TCAACGCTTCGCAAACACTTTAGCCAATCCTCAGATGTACTGCAGTTTTGTTGAGTTGCCATATATTGACCCATAGCTAGCGATTCATTTGCACTGAGAACAGGTCTGTCCTTATTGTACATAACGGCCCCACTTTCCATAATAGCCCTCTTAAACAGCCCCTTTGATAGGGGAGACAATATATGTGCCGATACGGACCAACTACCGGCGCTCTCACCAAATATAGTGATCTGATCGCTGTCTCCACCGAATTGATGAATGTTTTCTCTAACCTATAATTCAATTATTAAATTTTCAAATTAATAGTATTATAATAACAAAATATATTTTATACCCATTTGAGAGCCAATAACTGGTCATAAAAGCCCACATTTCCTGGTGCGTCCTCCCGACCCCCATATAGAAAGCCCAACTGACCCAACCTATAGTTTGTGGACACAATGACCACTTCATGAGTGGCTAATACACTGCCATTGAATGCCTCTTGAAATATTGAACCACTGGTCAGAGCCCCTCCATGTATCCAAAACATAACGGGTTTCAAGTCTCCCAAACCCGATGTCCACACATTTAGTACCAAACAATCCTCACTAAGACTTAGTCCTACGACAGGGTTTTGCATACATGAGTGCTTAGGTACTGTGGCATCGATTATGTCCTTTAATAATAATATGATGAAATGTAATTTAATTAATAATTTTTAGTTTATAATTGTTTGAGACTTACATCCAAAGGCTTTTTAAGTGGTTGTGGTTTAGCAAACCTCAACTGTCCGACCGGTGGTTCGGCGTACGGAATGCCTAAAAACTGGTCAATACTAGTATCTAATACATTTACAGTTAGCCCTCTAACAACACCGGAAGTAGTATTTACATCAACACAGTTACTATATTTACAATTAATTAAGAAGTTTATTAAAATAGTTAGCAATAATTTATTATACATTTTTAATTTAATATATTTAGTAGTAAATGGAAAAATTTAAAACTAATAAAAGTGTTGTAAAAGTCAAATATTTATATAAAAGCAAGTAAATATTATTTCGACAACTTTATCATTAAATGTCAATAAATGTCAAATTGAGATTAGTGTTTCTACTGTATATAACATGTACTTTTGTACTCGAGAATATATGTTTTTATTACATATAAATCCTTTTAATATCATGTCATTATGTGTCAAAATTGATTTAATGGGATTATGAGTACAATCGTATCAACGTTTATTAACAATGCTTATAAATACACACAAGTTTAGGTAATCATTACTTACAAATGTGGTTACAGTTAATTGTTTCATTTGTAATACATTTGGTGTAAAGTACATTTTTACAAAGATTAAAAAATATTTAGTGCAAAACTTAATTACCTTGGTATTTCTAGAATTTTAATATGAAAAATATTTAGTTTATATAGCAGAAATTTTATTAAAACAGAATAATCCTATACCAGTACTTTTTAGTATTTATAAATTCTTTATATTTCTTAACTTTTTTTTTATTTCTATGATTTCTTTAAAACTATAATCATAAACCAATCATTTATTATATGATGTTTGTGAACCCGAGATGTTGTTCTCATCCCTGTCCTTCTCATCACTTCTTTGTGTCCCAAATGGACTCGAAGAAGGACTGATAGGCGGACTGATTCACTAAATTCTTGTGGACTTCCACTGAATGTTGAGACTCGAGAACCAGTCTTTGGATTTTTGGCGATTTGTTTTGGCTTTTCGTAGACTTCTTTGATTTCATGGATTTCTTTATTGACTTTCGAGCCATCGCTGAAGGTTTGGATCACTTTCTGGAGTTCTGTCAAGAGATTGGAAGTCGCCTGAGAGAATGACCCGACTTTTTGGGAAATTTTAATTTAATTTTTTTTATTTTAAATAAAATAATTTCTATAATTTCAACACAATATACGACAAAATGTTGTCATTATGTAAATAAATCTGTTGTTAAATATACGACATCGTATGTTTTGTCTACTTCCAACATAATATTATTTATAAATCATATAATTTATACATAATAATGACCCCAAATGCCATCACAGGTGTCGTGAAAGGGGTCGTTCTCTACCAGCGATATATTCAACGGATCCAAACCCTTCACAATTGGCACTACATTTAGCTCGTGGTTAAGAAGTTGAGGCCACCCCTGGTCCTCATGTCTGTTAATTACATAAAAATTAAAAATATTAAACAATTTTATTAGCCATCAATAATTAGCTATATTTACCCATCTTTAGCAAACTTAGTCCACATATCCATCATATGTTTACTCCAATAAACATCTTCGGGTTCATAATCGGGTCGAATGAATGGTAATCCAAATACAAATGGTATGTCCATTGCGTGATTATTTACCCATCTTTAGCAAACTTAGTCCACATATCCATCATATGTTTACTCCAATAAACATCTTCGGGTTCATAATCGGGTCGAATGAATGGTAATCCAAATACAAATGGTATGTCCATTGCGTGACATATGCCCATGGTGGGAATGTCACAATTGAATATTTTGGCAAAAGTTTTACTCGCGTAGAAAAGTTCATAAAAGTAAACTCTATGCATATCCTTAACAGCGATTGCAAATTGTTTGGCAAATGAATAGGTCGGACATTTGAGGGCCAAATCACCCATGAGGTCGGAAAATGCAAATCTCAGGTATAGGGGTTTACTTGTGTTCACATTTTTAAGATAATAATCGGACACTTTTTGGGTATCAATTCCGTGATATATGGCGTCCAATCCTTTAACACCTGTCGTAAAGTTCTGAAGTGTCATATTATTTATGTCTTTAATGACTATATTGATAAACATTGAGCCCTCGTCCCGATTGACACCCGCCATGAGATCGATATCTAAATTAAGGGATCATTTGTATAAGTATAGTAAACATAACTGACTGTATTTCGTAATCTAAACCTGAATTAAACTTTTTAGTCTCAAATGCTTTTTGTGCCGAAATGGGCAGAAACTCAGTGCCCAACACTGGATAAGTCGGGTTTCGGGAATACTTTGACAACTCGTTTGCGTCCACTTTTCGCAAACACTGCAACCAATCCTCAGTTTCACTACAATTCAGTTGTTTTGCTATTTGTTTGGCGCGGGAGAGGGCCTCGGCTTTACTGACAACATCATTGTCCTTGTTATACATATGGGCCCCACTTTGCATAATAGCCCTTTTAAACAACCCTTTTGATAGAGGCGACAATATGTGTGCCGATACGGACCAACTACCGGCGCTCTCACCAAATATAGTGATCTGATCGCTGTCTCCACCGAATTGATGAATGTTTTCTTTCACCTATAATTTAATCATTACTTCATTCATCAAAATATAAAATGCTATCAAAATCACAAATAATTTTATACCCATTTAAGGGCCAATAACTGGTCATAAAAGCCCACATTTCCGGGTGCGTCCTCCCGATCCCCATATAAGTACCCAAATTGACCCAATCTATAATTGGTGGACACTATCACTAAATCGCGAGTAGCCAGTACACTTCCATCATAAATGTCCTGAAATATTGATCCCAACACGAGAGCCCCTCCATGTATCC